TGCTATGCATTGTGCTGATGCCAGGCATTTTATTATTCTTAGATAAGAAAATGGAATGGCTTGCTTGGCCATTTCAGCAGCTGAGTCAACCACAATGCTGTGGGTCTGGAGTCATGTGTAGGCCAGACCAGGTAAGGATAGCAGTTTCCTTCCCACAGGACATTAGGAACCAGATGGGTTTTTCTGACAGTTGACAATGGTTTCATGGTCTTCATTAGACTCTTAATTCCAGATTCTTTATTGAATTCAAATTCCACCATCTGCTGTGATAGGCTTTGAACCCAGGTCCCCAGAACAGTAGTTTCTGGATTAATAGTTTAGCAATAATGCCACTAGGCCATCGTCTATGCTAGTTAGAAGTTGTTGACACTGTGGTCCACTTTTAGATTTGTCTTTGTGTCTTTTAGGTGGGATTTTAAGTAGGTAGCAGGACCTCCATAACAGTTGGCAAATAGTTGATATCCGTACTGATTTCTTACGACTGTTGGAAAACTGTCCAGTAACCAGGGGGCTTTATTAGAAAGATCAAGCTTGCATTTATATAGCACTTTACATAGGCCCATGATGTTTGAAGTACATTACAGCAATTGAATTCCTTTTAGTTGCTGTTACAATGTGAGCACCCATGGCAGCCATTTTGTGCACATCCCCACGAGCAGCAATGGAATATAAACCAGATAAATCAGCCTTTACTTTTGAAAAAGAGTCATGTTGACTGGGAGGATAAATGTCAGTGTGAAGCTGCCAGCTGTTCTCTGAATCGACAGAGGGTTTGTAACCTCACTTGCAAGACATCATCCCCAACAGCGCTGCACTCCCTCTGTGCTAACACCAGGAGTGTCGGCTTGGACCCGATTTCAACCAGAAATGAGACAGTTGGTAACCTGCTGAGCCAAGGCTGACTTCCAGAATATCTTTACGGGCAAACTGCGTCACCACCTCATGGGCTGTTGGAGCAATTGACAAATTGAATCAATAGCTTGTTCCTTCCGTTGTCTGTATCATGTGGGCGACAGACTGTACTCACACCAGCCCAGCTGGCAAAACTCAAAACAAATTGTCCATTTTTGAATGTGAATCCATGACTGGGCAGCACTAAGAGAACAATCCCTAGTGCGTTAATATCTACACTAACATTGAAGGCAATCGATCGAATTAATCTATCCGCTCCCCCCACCCCCCAGAAGTGACATGCATTCATTCACAAGATGTGCACTCTGCAAGCTAAAGAAACATGACTAGGCCTTTCTTAATCACCTAGGAGCTTTAGCTCCTCGTTGCTTTATCTATGGTGAAACATCAACTAATCATCACTGACTTGGCAACCAAGTGTGTAGTATAAGTTGTGATAGTTTGAAATTTGGCATTATTATTTTGGTAACACATCTCTCTTTACGGCAAGCAGTATACCGATAATGTTTCAGTCATTGGGTCATACAGCACAGAAATAGACCCTTTCGTCCAACCAGTCCGTGCCAACCATAATCCTAAACTAAACTAGTCCCACCTGCCCATGCTTGGCCCATATCCCTCCAAACATTTCTTATTCGTGTACTTATCCAAATGTCTTTTAAACATTGTAACTGCACCCACATCCACCACTTCCTCTGGCAGCTCATTCTACACACGAACCTCTCTGTCTTTTAAAAAAAAAAACTGCCCCTCATGTCTTTTTTAGAATTTTTCTTCTCACCTTAAAAATATGCCCTCTAGTCTTGAAATGCCCCATCCGACAGAAAGACACCTGCCATTCACCTTATCTGTGCCCCTCATGGTGTTATAAACCTCTATAAGGTCACCTCTCAGCCTCCTTTGCTCCAGTGAGAAAAGTCCCAGGCTATTCTGCCTTTCTTTATAACTCAAATCCTCCATTCCCAGTAACATCTTGATAAATCTCTTCTGAACCCTCGCCAGTTTAATAATATCCTTCCTATAACAGGGCGACCAGAACTGGACGTAGTACTCCAAAATAGGCCCCACCCACATCCTGTACGACCTCAAACTGATACCCAACTCCTATACTCAAAGATCTGTGTTTGTTTATTTATTTATTCCAAGTTTCTCCCTTCATGCACAGGCTGTTGGGTGTATAACGTTATAAACCAGCCCATCAGTAAGATAATACTGATGGCTAAATTTTCCAACATGTGTCGTTAGTTAGTGACCCATATGGAGAAGCTCTATTTTAAGATGCCTCGTCTCTCTTGTTATGATCCCAGGTGATGTTAATATTGGGCAAGTTAGATCCCAGTCTAAAATTTGGCTTGATAGATTTTTAAAAAACTTAACAAGGTCATCACACAACTGAGCTTAGACTTTCGCAACCTCGACTAAACTCTTCAGGGTTCTAAGTAAACACTTCTGGTGTGGAGATTTCAAACCCAAATCCTTATTCCGAGGTGATGTAATTCCTAACGGTTCTAAACGGTCTGTTTTCTTCAGGAGAAACAGTTTCATGCACATAATCTGCAAACTGAAAACAAAAAGCTTTCCAAGCTATGTGTTCGTCCCTTAAGCAAAAAAAACTTGATCTTTCTAAACAGGTAGCAAGCTAATGTGCCTCAATGTTTACTCTGCTCGTAAAACTCTGCCAATGCAAACAAATTTCCTTTATTATCCGGTGATGACTTCTATATTACAGAAAGTTGAAAGAAAATGGCTCCTGAAATACGGACAGGGTTTATCACTGACTCCCTTCATATGCACACACCAAAACCCACACGCCACCAGTTCAAAATCTGAACTTTTAAATAAATGATAAAATGTATATAAATTACACTTTCCCACTTCCTCCTTTTCTGGGGGAATGCAGCAATAACTTGCATTCACGTAGTGCCTTTTAACATACCGGAATGTCGAGCATGTTGCACATTGACAGAATTGGACAAAGCTTGACGGGAAGATAACAGGAGAAGGAGACCAAAAACGTTGCTCAGAGAGAGAGATGGAGAGGCAACAAGAGAGTTGGGAAGAAACTTATGGGGCTTGAGGACTGGACAGCTGAAGGTAACATGATAAGACAGAGTGAGAAGCTAGAGCTGGAGAAACATCGCAATCTTGTATAGTTGTAGTGTTGGAGAATGTTGCAGTGCTGAACAGAAGGGGGGCCAGTGATGGTTCCGATTACTATCATGGGTTGGCTCGGGGGATTGTTTGGCTGTGACTTCTGGGTTGTGAAGAAGGTTTTTACCTGAATTCTGTGATGGGTGTGAGCTTTCGCATGCAGACTCCCTCGTATAAACAAAAACAGAAATTGCTGGAAAAGCTCAGCAAGTCTGGCAGCATCTGCGGAGAGAAATCAGTGTTAATGTTTCAGGTCTAGTGACCCTTCCAGACCCCTCCATAGATACTCCCGGCTTTCGCAGCAATTTCTATTCTTGTTTCTCATTTCCAACACCTTCAGTTCTTTTGGTTTTTGTTCTCATAGCAGTCTACTCTGGAATGGTTACCTCTCCGATTGCAGTCAGTTCATAACATTTAAACGTCAGCTTTGCGAAGTCACTAGGATAATTTTAAATTAACAACTGACCGGGGTTGATGGTTCTTCCAACGCCGTGCACTCCTTAATCGTTCATTCAACAGCTAGATCAAAGACTGAAAGGAAATTGCTTAAACAGATAACGTTGTGCACTCAACCAGCTACACCACAGTATGCTTAAATGTCCATTGTATGGTTCAATAATGTTGTGTTTTAGTTAACAAAGGAATGATTAATAGCAGATTAGAGTTAAACCAGCACAAAGACCAGTAGAGTGAAAGCTAGAAGAGGTGGTAGAAGCAGAGACGAAAACAATGTTTAAGAGGCATTTAGACAGATATGTGAACAGGCAGGGAATAGAGTGATATGGACCACGTGCAGTCAGATGGGATTAGTTTTGAATAGCTCGGCACAGACGTGGTGGGCAGAAGGGCCTGTTCCTGTGCGGTATTGTTCTGTGTTCTTTATGAAATGAGAATTTTCAGTTGATTGTACCAGCAAACAAATCTATGATGACAGGGAGGTAATGCTTGTGTTGTTGGGGAAATACAAAACAAGATGGTATAATCTTTAACACGTTACGTTCAAGAGCAACACATACTTCCAACAAAATGTCACGAGACCCTTCTCTACTCTCGCCCATCGAGAAAGCTAAGATCGAGAGATTTTTTTAAAGTCAAGTCACCAACAATTGCACAGAAAATGCCAGTAAATGGTGCTGTGATCAACCTCAATCTGATTCAGAGGCAGAACTAGCCAGTGTGGCTGAATTTCTTTTTAATTAGTGCACGGTGTGGGGGTATCTCAATCTTATCAGCGTTTATTGGCCACCTCCTGTTCCTGTTTTCTGACCACTGAGGAACATGACAAGCTTCTGACTCACTGCTCAGCCAAAGAGTTTTGATGGGCCTCTTAAAAGAGGCAGAGACTAAAAGATTTCCGGAGCTTGGGGCCCAGGTAGCTGAAAGTCAGAAATCACACGACACCAGGTTATAGTCCAACAGGTTTATTTGAAAACACAAGCTTTTGGAGTCTTGCACCTTCTTCAGGTGTTAGTGAGAGAGGTAGTATCAGACACAGAATTTGTAAGTAAAAGGTCACACCACTGATGAGGATGTATTAAACAAACCGAAGGTGCTGATAAATCTTTAATCATTTAGAAGGTTTTAATTGATTAGTATGTATATGTAAATCCCCAAATTCCTTTGCCCTGGGAGAACTAAACGTTTTATCGGTGTAAAGAAGAGGTTACATTTTAGGTCAGACAATGCATGCTAGGTATGAAGCCTTGTTTAGAATCTGTTTGTGTCTTGGTTTGGAGTCAGACTGGTTTTATTTCTAAAGTAGGAATTTATAAAACGCCATATTGACTGACTGTCTATAAATTGTGTGCTTTTTGAACAAAATAGAATGTATCCGCAAATACAGATTCACCCCATAGATTCACGTGTTTGTGTGTGTGTGTGTGTGTCATTTTTGATCCTGCCCACCCCAGTCCAACACCGGCTCCTCCACATCACAGGTATCTGAAGGAAGTGCTGCCAATCAGGGAGCGATGGAAGTTGTGGATGTTCAAGATGCTGGAATTGGAGGAGTGCACAGATCTTGGAAGGTTGTGGGACTGGGACAGGTCACGTAGAGGTTTGTAAATCACAGAATCCCTACAGTGTGGAAGTAGGGCCTTCGGCCCATTGGGTCCATACCAACCCTCCAAACAGCATCCCACCCAATCCCACCCCCCTACCCTATCCCTGTAATCCTGTATTTCCCATGGCTAATCCATCTAGCCTATACATCCCTGGACACTATGGGCAATGTAGGATGGCCTAACCTGCACATCTGTGGACTCTGGGAGGAAAACCATGCAGACACGGGGAGAATGTGTAAACTCCACAGAGACACAGCCTGAGGCTGGAATTGAACGTGGCTCCCTGGAGCTGTGAGGCAGCAGTGCTAATCACTGCCCAACTGTGCCATCCTAAATGTGGGTGAGAAAAGTGAGGCGTTAATTGATCAGAGGATGTTGTATGTCAGCAAAGGGTTTTTCTGGGACGTTACCATTGTGCCTATCTCTCAACCAAGGCAGCCCAGGTTAGAGGCCCACCTACTCCAGAGGTGTGACGTAGCTTCTCTGATCAGAAAGTATGTGGTGAGCAAGGGGTTATGTGTAAATGGGACTGAGTTATGACATAGTGCAGCCGATCTCAAATTTGTGGAGAGTATAATGTGGGATTGCATTGGGATAGTAGCATCTCGATGTAACAAAGGCATGAAGGAAGGTTTCAGCAGCAGGTGAGCTGAGGCTGAGACAGAGCCAGACCCTTGAAAGATCTGGATTGAGGTTGCACACAGCCCAATGGCCTTGATGATACAGGGTTGTAACGTTCTGGCTCATAATGTGAGAAACCTTTTCATTGCGATTAAATTAGTGAGTTAATCTCTCTGTAATGAATTGAGTTGACTGCAGTACGCTGCTGGGATTGTACAGCTTTGTGTAGAATATAGCTTGGGGCACAGTGTGACAGGTTGGGCCACGCTGCATGTTCAACACCAGCTCCACGATTAAAGTTCTGAGTGATTAAGGCGGTGACAGAAAGTGTAACTAATGTGTCAGTGCCTTGAAGGTACATCAGAGTCTGATTTATGCTCTTGTTGAGATTTCCCATTGGGCATTTTTCTGACTATATCCTTTGTGTCTACTGATATTCTTGTTCCAGCCAAATTTTCTGTTCTGCAATAGACCTGGGACAAGGTAGCCTTAGTACTTATATTTTTGGACTGATTCATCCTGAGGTCTGGATTAATTTTCGGAGGGAATTCAGATTCTACTGCTGAGTTAAATTGAGTTCATTAAATTAGTTTTACTTAACTTGGGGCTGGAATTTAAACAATTAGTGCTCTTAATAATGACTGCAGAGCTATCGTTGTTGTAAAATCCATCAGGTTCACTAATGCCCACAGATGGTTGACCAGAAATATCTCTTAGTGTCCACGTGTTGAACTGCTTGATACATAACTTGTTTGGGCTCGTTCTGAATGCACCTTTGTTGGCCACCTTGGGATGGAAATAGACCCCAGAGTATCTGGCTCCAATGCAGGGTTGCTACCCACTGCATCATAGGACCAGAAAAAACACAGTGTGGAGCTGAAGGAACACAGCAGGCCAGGCAGCATCAGAGGAGCTCCTCTGACTTCTTACTTCCACTTCTTACTTATACAAGACAATATTTACATATATTTGAGGCACCAGGAGATGCCGATAACCAAATGGACCCCCATTTAACTTTGGCAGAAAGACCTCAGGTGGTGGTCTTTCCCCACTGTGCCTTGGCGGCAGCTGCCCCAAGTTTTAGTGTTTCCCTCAGCACGTCCTCCTGGACCTTGGAATGTGCCAGTCTGCAACACTCTGTCAGGGTCAACTCCTTGCTCTGGAAGACCAACAGGTTTCGGACAGACCAAAGAGCATCTTTCACCGAGTGGATGGTCTTCCAGGTGCATTCGATATTTGTCTCAGTGTGCATCTCGGGGAACAGACCGTAGAGCACAGAGTCCTGCATCACGGAGCTGCTTGGGATGAACCTCAACAAAAACCACTGCCTCTTTCTCCAGACTTCCTTTGCAAAGGCACATTCCAGCAGGAGATGCGTGACAGTGTCTACCCCCTCACAGCTGCTTCGACGGCAGTGTGCGGTGGAGCAGAGAGTCCGGGAGTACGTAAAGGATCTCTCAGCTACTGCCCTTCTCACCACCAACCAGGCGATGTCTTGGTGCTTGGTGGAAAGTTCTGGTGATGAGACATTCTGCCAAATGACTTTGACAGTCTGCTCTGGGGACCACGTGCCAGGATCCGCCCTCTTCTTTTTCCCTCAGGGTCTCGAAGATGTTACGTGCTGACCAGTCCCTGATGGACCTGTGGTCAAAGGTGTTTTTCTCTGCAAACTTCTCCACGAAGGACAGGTAGTATGGAACGGTCCAACTACTTGGAGTGTTCCGCGATGCAACACTCAGTCGAGGTTAGCTTCAGCTCTGAACCCACAAACGCCTGAATCAATTCCCATTCTGTCATTAAGGCAACTGTGTGGCTGTCTTTTGTATGAGGGTGTTTGTCACATCCCTCCCTCAGGCAGTTGGGAAAGATATTGCGTTGCTATTTCGTTGAAGAACAGGGATGTTCTCTGTGGTTTGCTGGGCCAATAATTATCTGTCCAGCAACGTAACTAGGTAAGGAAAACTGAAAGAACGGCGGATGCTGTAAATCAGGAACAAAAACAAAGTTGCTGGAAAAGCTCAGCAGGTCTGGCAGAATCTGTGAAGGAGAAAACAGAGTTAACGTTTTGGGTCCGGTGACCCTTCCTTAGAAAACACTGAGAAAACACAAAGAAAACACTGTCCCGTCATTTGCTGTTGTAAATGCACTAGCTACTCTGCCATCTCTAAGTAACTACAATTCTTCCTTGGCAAGTATGGATTTTATAAGCTTTTATTTTAAGCTGTTGCCTTTTACTGCCCTTGTATCACCATGCTGACAGTTTCTGAGAGAGGAGGGGAAGTTTGTTAAACTACTTTTAGTTGACCTGCACTCTGTTTTTTATTATACTGCTGCTGGTTTAGTGTTGCAGTATTTGAGTTGCAAAGACTTTGTGTGTGATCGCTGTTAGTCTGTGGGTGAGGATAAATTGCTGTGGTTACCATTAATCGGTTCCCCCAAGCCCCACATGAAAGCCCCCAGCATTAGGAGAGTTGCAAAAAGGGTTGATTTGACAATGTTCACAGATGTTGAGAATTTCCCATTTAGAAGCCGTTCATTTGTTTCTCTACCTCCAGGCTAACATCTTGTTTCTTTTCCTGTGAGTAGAATGATCCAGGGAAACATTTCAGATTTGTTTTTTTAACTGTTTGACATTTTCATTTGTGCGATTGTAGACCACTTAAATTTTGCACCCTCTCAGCAAAAACACTGTTCAAAATACTGGCGCACGTTGGGTTCTGATTCCCAGAAAGCCTGAGGAATCCTCTCTGTAAATCAGAAAATTGCTGGACAATTCCCTGTGCTGTTCATTTCGTTTGAAAATTTTTTGAAATATTAAACAAAAGCATTTGCTTCTTTCCTGCTGCTCCTGCCTGCTTTCCCTTAGCAGCCCCACACACCCCATCTCTGTCATCTCCTCCATATCTATGACTGTCAGATCTAAGTGTCTAGCTAACATAGTGTCTCGAATGAGATGAGCTGGGTTGTCCCTATTTTGTGTTTACTCCACGGCTGAGCGACCAAAGGACGTGGAGAATTCTAAGGATTCTCAATCCCCCTAAGTGAAGAAATTCCTCCTCTTTCCAGTCCAAAATGGCTTCCCTGATCCCAAGACTGTGACCTGTATTTCTGTGACCTCTAAAGCCTGGGGAAACAGTTTCTCCACCTATAACCTGTCAAGCCCTCTAAAAATTTTACTTCAGTGAGATTCTTCTCAACACTGGCCTGTTCTATAGGCCCATTGTAGTCAATCTCTCCTCATGGAACAGCCTCATTCTAGTGAACTTGGATTTCGCCCTCTGTGAGGCAAGTATATCCTTCCTTACATAAAGATTTGATTTATTACTGTCACCATGTACCTAGGTACAGTGAAAAGTTTTGTTTTGCGTGCAGTACAGGCAGATCATACCGTACCAATAACAGAACAGAGTGAGGAACACAATGTTATGGCTGCAGAGAAGGTGCACAAAGAGCGAGGTCAACATTAAATTTGAAATTTGAGAGGTCCATTCAGAACTATAAAAACGTGGGGAAGAAGCTGTTCTTGAATCTGTTGGTACTAGTATACAAACTTTTATATCTTCAGCCCTTTGGAGGAGGGTGGAAGAGCGTATTCCTGAAGTGGGAGAGGTCTTTGATTAACGAAGCCAAAAGTGTACACAGTTCCCCAGGTGTGGTCTTCCCCTGGGGATGGAGGGTCGGGGGGAGCGCAGTGTGAAGAACTGGGGCAACAGTTCAAGAATTAGGACTGACCCTTTGAGACTGAGTTGAGAATATTTTTTCTGCTCTCTGAAGATTGTTAGCCTGTTGGATGCCCCTCCCCAGAGAGACGTAGAGGGTTAGTTAGTTGAATATTGAGTTACATATTTGTTCAAGGGAGATGGTTGTTAGGCCTAACCCTGTCAAGGCAAGAAAGTGGCATTGAGCCCACAATCCTATCAAGGAGTGGAGCAGGCTTGAGGGGCTGAATGGCCTACTTCCTTTTACCTATCTATATTCTTGTTTTTGCTCGTCATTCAACTGTAAAGGCTTAAGTGCAACTTATTCAACCCTATCTTGTGTCTAAAATAGATGACATTTCTCATTTGACCTTGTCTGAGGTATAGCTTTGAATAGTGCTGGGCATGCAGTGGCTTACTGGGATAAATCATTGAGAATATTAGCTCCATAACTCACTCGTGTTGCAGAAAATGGTTAGGTTCTTGGTCCTGACATTGGCTAAGGTTTATTTTCCAGCAATGTACCAAGCCTGTGTCTCATATTTTATAATAAATGCAGCCTGACTCCAGGTAAACACGGTATTACTGCAGAGCACTTAGAATCTAGAATATTTACACCCCTTAATGTTTCATGCTGGAGCAGAACATATTCATCACTCTGAA